CGATCCTTCCGCCTCAGCCTTCCGAGGAGCCAGAATTACAGGCACGTGCTACCACGCCCGGCTAATTTTTTTTATTTATTGTAGAGATGAGGTCTCGCCTGCCCAGGCGGGTCTTGAACCCACGAGCTCAGGCAATCCACTCACCTCAGCCTCCCAAAAGCACGGGATTACAGGCTGAGCCACCGAGCCCAGCTTTTATTTTAATGTTTATTTTAAAAATACTTTTTTTTTTGAGTTGGAGTCTCACTCCGTGGCCCAGGCTGGAATGAAGTGGCACACTCACGGCCACCCCAGCATCAACCACGGAATGCCGTGGGTGTGCCACGGAATGAAGTGGCACACCCACGGCAACCCCAGCATCAGGATCGCCCTAGGCTCAGGCGATCCTTCTGTCTCAGCCTTCCAAGTAGCCAGAACTACAGGTGCATGCTACCACACATGACTGATTTTTTATTTTTTATTGTAGAGACAAGGCCTCACCAAGTTGCCCGGGCTGATCTCAAACCCATAGGCTCAGGCAATCCACTCGCCTTGGCCTCCCAAAGTGCTGGGATTACAGGCTGAGCCACCAAGCCTGACCAAAATACTTTCATTAAAACCATTGTTTTTCAGGAGTTTCTCTGAACCTGTTCTGGTTCAGGGAACTGCCTGATTTTAAAAAGAAAAAAGGTCATTGTTTTCCATCAGCTCATATAATGAAATTTATATCAATTTAACCAATTTTTTTTTGAGTGGGAGTCTCACTCCCCCAGCCTGAAATGCAGTGGCATGTCACGGCCACCACAGCCTCAACCTGCTGGGCCCAGGTGATCCTTCCACCTCAGCCTTCCAAGTAACTGGAACTACAGGCACCCACCACCACACATAGCTAATTTTTTGATTTACTGTAGAGATGAGATCTCGCCACGTTGCCCTGGCTGCTTTCGAACTCCTGAGCTCAAGTGATTCTTCTGTCTTGACCTCCCAAAGTGCTGGGATTGCAGGTGTGAGCCACCATGCCCATCTTCCTTAGTCCCTTAATCTAAAACAGTCCTCCCACCTTTAGACATTTCTAAAATGTAATAGTTTGGAAAATATCACAGTACACTGCACATAGTAAAAGGCTAACTTTATTAAACTTTTGTATCAGTTTTTAGTTAAGATGCCAGTTCAACTACCTTCATAAAATCCAAAGTAGGCTGAGTGCGGAGGCTCACACCTATAAACCCAGCACTTTAAGAGGTGGAGGCGAGAGGATTCCCTGAATCCAAGGGATCAAGACCAGCCCAGGAAACTTGGTGGGACCTCATCTCTACAATAAATCAAAAAATCAGCCGGGCGTGGTAGCGTACGCCTGTAGTTCCAGCTACTTGGAAGGCTGAGGCGGAAGGATTGCCAGAGCCCAGCAGGTCGAGGCTGCAGTGGCTGGGAGCGGCCACTGCACTCCAGTCTGGGCGACAGAGTGAGACTCAACTCAAAAAAAAAAAAAATCTAAAGTAGCAGTGACTTACATACAATAGAAGTTGACTTCTCTCTCTCTCATAATTCAAGCATGTAGGGTAGCAGTCCAAAGTCAGTTGGCAGTTCCACTGGGTGGGAATCCCTGATCTTTCTATTTTATTGCTCTGTCATTCTCAAACACAGCTTCCATCTCTTAATTTAAGATAGGTTCCAGGCCAGGCACAGTGACCCATACCTGTGTAATCCTAGTATTTTGGAAGGCTGAGGCAGGAAGATTGCTTGTGGCCAGAAGTTTGAGACCAGCCTGGGCAACATAGCAAGACCCCATCTCTACCAAAAAAAATTTAGCTAGGTGTGGCAGGGCGCCTATAGTCCCAGCTACTCAAGAGGCTGAGGCAGGAGTTTAAGATTGCCATGAGCTTTGATCATGCCACTGCACTCCAGACTAGGCAACAGAGCAAGATTCTGT